GAATGATAACCTCGACTAGAATATTCGTCTGTACTCCTGTAACGTGGCCAAAGTAGTCGGTTCCCCGCACGTCATCGCATGATAGTCACCGTAATCCTCCTTCTATATAAGTCCGTTAATTTTGCCGTTTGTTCTCTGCTTCAGCTCGTTTTCATTTACTGGGGTGAAGTTAGAGGAACAACTAGGAAGAAGGAAGTTGTAGTTCTTTGAGAATTGTAACCCATTTCACTAGTGCTCAGTGTGTTGTGCGTGGGCTGAACAGGGTGGTGCCACCAATCTGCAGAATATACCGCATCAGATGCCTAGAAAAATCATTTGATATTTCCAAAGCGAAAATGAGGGAAACAGCATTTTCTCTATGCAACAATGTCTTACTCCCAAAAATTATGAAAAAGCCGATGCTAAAACTCTCTCGATGACTGCAGAGAGGTGTTTGATACACTCAATTTACACTTGACGGCTGTCAAACGTTAGGATTTCTGTATCTGTTTACATACATTCGTATTCCATGTTTGCCTACTGAAAAACTACAATAACCCAGTGTTTATATTACATAGTAACCGGAATAAGGAAAATGTCGTTATAATTTACCATAACAATTACAAAATTAACATATTGCTGATATTTTCGCCATTATAAATGTTTTATGCTCTTTGCTGCGAGAAAAAACGCGATCCTTCATATGAGCTAGTGGGTTTACCCCCATTATATTTCAGTGGTCTTGACGTGATCAACACTTTTAGGTAACCCGACAAAAAGCAAAGTCAGCTTCCAAGTTTCTGTTTCCTTTATGTTCGTCCTATACCCATGTATGATTCCTAAGATTAATTTTGGATCACCTGCCAAATAGTTTAAGTTGGATCAATATCCAAACTATAGGTGGACCGAGCATAAAATAGGAATCACTAAATTATTTATTAAATGCTTGACTTTTTCTAGGGAAATCGTCCGGGCATCCATTTTCTGTGAAAAAGAGGACGTCATCCTGCTGGACTTAAATGGGTCATTGCGTGGGTTACAAAGACTGTGAAGCACATTTTTGCTGGAAACATCTTACCTGTTGACCACCTTTTTTACGATTTTGAAGATTTACCAATACATTTCTGAACTTCCGAAAAGTGTTTTTGGATATATCCCGGAATACCAGATACCAAAGACTCACTATGATCATTATAACCTAGGAAGCCAGATCGCGGTACGGGAAACTGTTATCAAACATCTTTCCTGCCGAATGTCCCAAAATTTTAGATGACGGAGGAGACATCCATTAATTTTTTCGTCGGTCTTGATTGCATTCGCAGTTTTGCGGTAGGCAAAGTCCCATTGCAGCCATAAGTCAGAAGGTCTTGCCGCATGGGCTCTGCTGAGAAAGGGCTCTTTTCTAATGTTCCCGAGTCACTCCATTTGGTCTAAGCCATTTAAACTCCTTCAAAAAATCGAAATTCCATGGGGACGATCTGTTTATGTTCGGAGCTCTTTAGTACGCGTGCTGGATCTCTGAAGTTGACAGGAAACAAGTGTCGCAAAAAGGACGATGAAGCGAGCGCGGGGATAGAAGCAGGAATGGTGATGGAGTTTCAGTTGTGCCTTGAGTATACAGCATAGTTAGACACGCATGTTGATAAGACACTGGTAGTGGCATAACTTCAAGACACTCTCAGCTAGTTGGAAGACTCAATTATGTGGCTTTACAGGCTGCTGGAATGGCCTTAGTCAATAAGACGCTAACTGTCGAAGTTATCTGTAGGTAGTTGGGGGTATGTTTTCCATACTTGGGCAGAGGTACTGACAGAGCCGATGTTTGAAATTTTATATTGATGAGGAAAAACCATACCGCAAAAAATCTTCGGGGTCTTCCGGGCAATTCAGCATTCCCGGCGACAGGATCAGTGTCGCCTGGCTGAGTGCATCTAAATCCTTAAGCTAAAGAGCTGGTAACGAGGAAGGAGAGAAATACCTCGAATGTGTTCAACCCTCCTGGCTGTTATTTGCCTCAGAATTCTCCCAATATGGACGTATCGACAAGAACGTAACGAATGTAACGGTGGCCGTCACAATCCCAGAACTCGGGCTGGCTAAGGAATAGAATTAGGAGGCACCAGTAGGTACTTGTTCTGTGCATGATAACTGAAACGCGGCGACACTTAACAGAACGCACTGGTCTCACGCGGATGGTGTGTGGCAGGCAGCCTGAGCACGAGTTAACAGCACCTGAGAGTTTCTGTAACTGAAAGCGGCGGGAAATGGATGGACCAGCTTACTGCTAATTGGTTTTTCGTTGGTCCGTTAATGCAGTAACTGATCGAAGTATTGAGTACATAAGTCATGTCATACGGAGGGGTGGGTGCCAACCGCAAGCAGAAGACTAGGGCAAGATTGGGGCTTTCAAGTATATGCGAACACAGGTTGAGGCAGCCCGTGCCGCATGAACACTTTCGTTCACTTCATTTGGAACGACTTTCGTAGAACCGGACGGCAGTATAGGTCCTTTCAGCGGAGCAACATAATCTCCACCGATAAACCCGTATAAATTACCGACGTTGGTGTTGCATTCACCGATCGGGTTAAGGGACACGATTGCCTCGTCGTGTCTTAAGGCTCGTCGGACGACTCATGAAGACAGTCTCATTCTGCATGTGACAGCGGTCCCTGTGCAACAGCCTTTGTGGGCCCTGGAATAAACCTTAAGACACAGTGGGACGAACACGGCCCCAACGCGACTGGTGAACTCACTTATGTTGCCGATCGCAACCGAGAGGACAGCGGACCCACGGTCCAACGGTGGTGTCCGACTGTATGACCAAAGATCCTGGGTCTGTGTTCCAGGCGTCGCAAACTTGAGGTTGGGTGTGGCTGACTGATGACGGCTAACAAGCCAGAAATGGCCATTCTCGTCTTCCTTTCTTTTTTTCGGTTCTCCTTTTCAGCATTGTCATTTACTTATGTTAAAAATAGCACGACAAGTTTCTATAAAATTTTACACACGCTTATAAGGACGCTTGATGAAAAGCTTAAAGTATTTGGCAGCTTTGGTGGCCCTTTCCGCGCACCATCATCAGCATCCGCCTTCTAATAAGGCTATTTGGATCACAAGTCCTGTTATAATGGTGCGTCAAAGCTCTGAACAATGAATGAAGGACCAACCGAATTCCTCCAAGTTTTGAGTTATTTGCAAACATTTAAATTCCCTTTGCGTGCTGGAAAAATCCTTAACTATTCGCGTCACATCAGCATTTAGACGGGCGTTATCGTTTAGCGAACGGGAAATCAAAAGGGTTATTATCAACTTTTCCCAAGCTAACTGTGGTCAGGAGGACCGTCGAAATTATTCAAAAGCACTTACATTTTATAAAATCGAACATTACCTGGCGTTGCCTCAGCTTCCAGTGAAAATTTAATGCGTTGTGCATTGACAGATAAAACTTTACTAGCATGCCTCTGAGTCAGGTGGTCAGGGCTTGATGATGTTTTCGAACGGGCCTCTTGAAAACTGTTTAGACCATAGTTACTCACCGTTACAGATCATGTCCTGGTTCGTACAGCTCCGACTGTTTCATATGCACTGCCATCCAGCCAAACGCCCTGCAGCTCTAAAGGTTACGCAATTTTCACCATCGGTGGTCCGACGATTCGGCTCATAGGACTTTACCCGCCAATCGCGCGCTGTCACTGTCGTCCCCTCGCCGCCACCACCACCACCACCATCACGAGACTCCTTCTCCCGCCAAAAAACTGACGAACGCACGTGAATGCGCACGCGCGAGAGGGTTATCGGCCCCCATACGCCTGCAGCCAGCACATGCCAGATGACTTCTCTTTACCGTCACACTTTCGACAGTCATGCCCTTCCCCCCTCCTCCTCCTCCTCCTCCTCCTCCTTGTCATTGCCGTCTCCATATCCTTCCAAAAGGCATTTAGTCCTCTAAGCTTTCACTTGACGTCCGGGCAGTCCCTCCCCGAGTCTCACCCTCGTCCCAACATTCCCCTTCAGTAACCCCTAGTTTGTAAAAGGGGAAAGAGGGCGGGGGTCAAGGGGGAAGGGCTAAATGTCAACCCTCCGACAGCCGCACCAGAAACAGCATCAGCAGTAGCGGCGACAGTAAATACGATCAGCCCGCATACACACATGGACTGTATTCGCGATGGCGGCAACACGAGTTACTGGGCTGCCGAGAGAAAATTGAGATAAAACCCACCTCTGTTGGAGTTGAACTGGTCACCATGTCACCAGAATCGCACAGGGGTGGGGCGGAGTGTGTGCGTATGCGGCGGCGACGGCTTCCCCGACACATTGGTTTGGCTTAACAGACAGCCGGGCAGTGCGCACAAAGAGGCGGTGCACACAGGAACGCGAGTGGCACAAGATCACTCTGACGCATGACGACAGGGAGATTCTGACCTTTGCAGGCCTTCGGTGTCATCTACGAGGAACAACAGCACCGTTAGAGTTAATAAATCATACTCCACTTTGTATGGGTACCTCACGACCACCAAATGGGGCGGTGTTGTTGCGTCAGACGAAAAAAGGGCGACTATTTTATTACTTAACAACTTTTTTCTGTGAAGTCTGCACCAGGTAGGTTGCGTGACCAGCATGCGTGTTGCACGCGAGAGACGGGAGATAATATTGGTTATTTACTCTTCCCGATCTCAGCTCCGGGCATTTTGACTCCGTCGTGTTTTTGGTATACAATGGCGATGGTGAAAAGAGAGAGAGAGAGAGAAAGAAATAAAGAAAGAAAGAAAGAGAAGGAAGCCGATCGCACAGAGCCTCTTCTCATCGCGTTATATTAGTTACGCTCAAGATACCACTTCTCCCTAGGGTGCTGGACGAAAAATGACTCGCGTGTGCGTTGAAATTCTGTCCACTAAGGGTCCGTGTACGGGTGTAATATAATAAGCCTATCTAGACGATCTCTTAACGCCCGCTGTGTTTGAGGTGTCGGGGCTGGGAGGGACGGCTGCGCTAAATACTTAACATCGAAGTAATAATGCCACTTTCAAGCCACTTGGTGCTCAGCTCTCAAGGAACAACCAGTAGAGACACAACGTGACTTGAACTGTCGCGAAAGGGGAACCTGAGCGCCGAATAAGTTCGTCAGCAGACTTCGAGGGCAATGAACCAAGATGAGATCGCCGCTATAGTGAAACAAGCGACCGCCGCCGCCGCCGCCGCCGACACCACCACCACCACCACCATCATCGTCGTCGTCGTCGTCGTCGTCTTCTTCTTCTCCTCCTCCTCTCATCCTCATCATCCAACGATGTAGAATCACCACCGTGTGAAGAATCAGTGCCACGAGAACGTCTTCTCCCTTGCGTGCCTATTTTATGGTTGTTTCGACTCAGCATCTATCTAATAAGAACCTAGAAGAGTGTGGCTCTTCATCAGCACTAGTTAATTGTCAAAAGTAACGCAACGTTTTGAGGTAACAGCATTTGGTCGGCTGGGGTCAACCAGCTGTCTCCAAAATAACTGTTTTGCGCCATTTTTACAGGAAAGTGCCTGAACTCAATCGCGTGGCACACGCCCCAAGTGTATTAGGAATGGGAATCATGGGAACGTTTTCGACCGACTGCCTCGAAATACTAAAAAAACAAATGTTAACCAATTTCTCGAGAAAAAGTCAAGACTTGTGGCCTTTATTGCTTTAGTTTTTGGAATCGAAAAGGACTGCCTCTTAAAAAGGCTACTCTTACATTGTTTTATGAGCATTAGTCATAACATTAGCCAAGCAGTGTTCAAGAGTTAAAAACCTTAAAGTCAGGAAATTTTCAAATATTCTGAGAAAGAGGAAGAGCCTCGATAAAAATATGGAAAGTGAAGCGGTTCATAATTAGAGAAATGTACCAGCCGATATATCGGAGGTACCACCCAAAAATGCCTTTTCGACGCTCGTTAATCCCAATGCTGTGCTAAGCCATTAGATGAGAAAATGCATAGGTCATTAATGTATCGTGTGAAAGGAGCCTTCTTGGTAAGCATATGGTTTACGCCCGGGGTTACTTACTTCGGGGAGCAATTGTGCTAAAAGCAAATGATTGGCGATATTTATTTGTAGGTGCCAGAGAAAGGAATGAAAAGACCTCTCGGTGGCTGCTGCGTTAGGTTGGTCAAAAAGCTTTAAGGTATTCATCGGAGTAAAAATATGATAATGCAATGACACTGCCTCAAAATGGGTACTTAATTTATTAATTATTATCATTAAATGGTAAAAATTGTGTCCCGTTTTGATTGATGACAGTGTGGTGGATCATAATTTGGGATACCACAAAGTTCCTGGATGTTCGAGTCCTTTCCTCAACATGATTGCTCTCCGGGGTAAGTGGTCCAGGACGCAAACCATAGCCGTGCCAACTTCTTTTCGGTAGGCATGCATTTTCACGCGTATATGTGGCCCTTAACAAAAGCGTTATCAGTCTGACTAATAATACAACTCCCGGGTTCCTAGGTGTCCTGGAAAACAGAAGGTGTTGTCCAGATCAACCGGAAATGCCGTGCCAGCGGAGACACACTGAGAACACAATCATTCTTTGGGGTTCAACAGCAAGCATCAGAACAGGAGTGGACAAGAATTGCAGCATCAATGGTCCAACTATCCATTTTGCATTACATAGGGATAACGTCTGCCTTCATCTCCCCTTTCCATCCAACAGTTCAGCAGTCGCGAACAACGATGTCTACCGAGGTAGGTGTAGGATGGTGACTTGCGCTTAAATTAGTTTTTATTGACAGCAGACTTGCACAGCATTTACCTCACTCACACCCTCATTGCCTGCCTGGGCCCGATGGCAAGACTGAGTCAGGACGACCAGAGGCAGGCCCGGGTATTTCTACGCATGTCACACACGAGCTGGTCCTAAGGCCATGTTTCAGGTTTTTATAACAGAAGGGAAGACGCGATTTTATCTGGGTGAGAATGCCATTGCGGACACATTCGGAAGATGTCATGTAGTCTGATTCTTGAGAGGGCCGACTGACAGTCTTCCAAGCCGCGATTTTTGTGCGTCATGGTAGATTTAGGCTCATCGAATTTATTATAGTAAGGAATGCACCAAAGTGCCATGGAATCGGGCTCCCAGTGTCGACCTCACTCTCCCCCCCCTCTCTCTCTCTCTCCCCATGCGCCAGTCCACTGTCCATGATTGCCAACCATCTGATGATGGGGTTGGGCGCAGTGGCTGAAGTGGGGGGAGGTCTACACCTAAGTTTGCTGCCACATCTCTCCGTCCCCGCATGTGCAGCGGTGGCCATGGGCTCACGCGGATTCTGCGTGACTCGATTAACACGTGCTGTCTCCCAGTCCGGCCCCGGTTTTGGAGCAACGTCTCTGCACAAAAACAAGCTTTCTTTTACTCATTTGGTAGGAAATAAAATTGTCTTTGCTTTGTATGCACGAAGAAAGTGTATATTTTGGTTTTAAAAAAGTTTCCAAATTCCCGAAAAATTTTCAGCCCGATCTGCCATTGCGTCAGCGTTTAGCAATTTCAGTCTACAAGGTGCATGCTTTCTGCGTAGGGAAAATCATATATTCCACTATGCCTTTTAGAAGATACCACATAGAGTTCATGCAATTTTGCAATGGATCCGGACTGTGTTGTACATTTCATGAGGAGCATTAGTGAACGGACATGTGCGGTCTTGCATGCATGGGCATCGGACGGTCTTAAAAATCTCACAATTAGAGACTTTTTTAAAACCTAAATATACACTTTCTTCGGACATAAAATATGGAAATAATGTGATTTCCTACCAAATGAGCAAAATAAAGCTTATTTTTATGCACGTGTTCTATAAAATAGATTTGAATTTATAGGGCCATCGAAAATCAATAGGAAAAACGCATTCTACTTAAGTAGTTATTTTTTACCGAGTGTAGTTTCTGCAGGAGGTCGAAAAGAAGTGCATTCAAAAGCCGACATACTGATGAGTCCGAATTGTTATAGGGTTATGCTGCATGATAATCAGTCTAACAACCCCACTTAAGTAATCCTTCCTAATCGGAAACACATTCCAGAATCTAGGCCAACATTTCATGAGATCGGTCACGCACTGTAAGTCGCTTTCCTCAGTATATTGTGCCCCTTGACTAGACGGGCATCAGTCGTTCCGGCTAGTTATTCGGTTTGCATGGAGTTGACTTTCAAGGGATTTCGTGTGCGCATGTGCGCCTGTCCGTGCCTGACACGCACTAGACAGCGATTGGCACTGCGCCCATTCTCATCCCGAGTCGGTTTGACTCGAACATTTTGTTGGATTATGGGAGAAGGAAGAATAGTTAGGCCAATCAAGCTCGGATAAAATGATTAATTCTGTATAATAAGTAATCAAACCCATCTTGCTTCCATTACAAAGCGTCAGTTTCCATAGCGTAAATAGTCGACAAAGTATGCGATATGTCGGTTCTACCCGGAACTGAAGTTCAGGGGGACAATAACCCCTCTTTGGTCCAACTTTTATGGTGCTTACACTTACGTGATGCCCGAGACACTTCATTGAGCAGGTTGCGGCACGCGTGAAGTTATGGACCGGATCGTATGTAGTACGCGTCGAAGGACTGCTTTGGTTTTTTCATCCGCTGTGCCAAAACCCAACCCTGGTTGTCTTAGCCGGCCTTACCAGCGGAACACGATGTGTGGGGGAAAGAGCGCGAAGTAAATGCAGTTCATGCCTACTTCACTACAAACAAAGGCTAGATCGCAGTTGGTAGCCAGCAATGGGGAAGCTGACTGCGACCTTAACCATAATCATAACTTTAACCCTAACCCTAACCTCTAACTTGAACTTCAACCGTTAAGCCTAACGCCAACCCTTACCCTAACCCTAACCGAAATCGTAAACGTAGCTGTAGCCCTAAGGCATAGCCGTAAATGAAAAACCTAACCGTTATATTGACACCTAATCTACGCCCAAACTCTAACCGTAACCCGAAAACCAAAGCCTAAAGGCATAACCCTAACCCGAAAATCGGAAACCATTAACTGGTACCCTAATCCTCACCTCAGATGTAAAACGGAGGCCAAATGGGTCAGATGTGAATATGGAACCCCACAAAATAGCCCCCGGTAAACAAACCCCCCAGCCACCTGTAATACGGGGTCGGCTACCAACTGCGATCTACTTCAAACAAATTTACGCGAAAGTCGCGCTTGAGCCTACGGGGTGATGGGCATCATCTCCAACCGTCGAAACGTCCTGCATACACCTGCCTTTCTACGGTTAAGAAGGTATTTTGAAATGCAGCTTGAAAGCAGGTTACTGGAGGTCATAGTTGTGCAGTCGCCTAGCGGACCTTTTCCCCAACAACTTTCTGGGCGTTTGAACCTTAGTCGACCCGAAATTACCCTTGGACTGCATATGGGAAGGCTTATTCGATTGGAATGACGAAAGGTGGTGGTTCAAAAAACAGTGGGGGGGTGTGAAGCAAGATGAGAGTTTGTAGCGGATTTTAAAAAGATTAACTGGAACCCTGAAACAATGCTAGGAAAGGTCACACAACCGGCACATACTGAAAAAAGAAAGCAAAATCGGGCGCCAAAACCCCCCTGACAACAGTCGTGCGAACACAATGCACGCGAAACCTGTTATGGGAGTGCCCGTAGTAAGATGCGACTGGAGGTAGGCAAGCACTGTTCTCTACGGTCTGAAAGAACCCCAGACGAATACCTGACGCTCCTGGAAGAGTAAGCCAGTGAGGACCGAGATTATATCCTTGGTGTAATTGTCTGCTGGGTATATACGGTTTGACCAACATGTGGGTTTGCAAGACGTATGAATAATCACGATGATTGTGGCCGTGGCTGGATCGAAGACGGGCATAAGGATCAACAGCAGCCCTCTTGCAAACTTTCCGGTTGGCTGTCTTGCCCTGAATTCCATGGGGGCAAAAGTTGGGCGTATTGTTAGGATTAGGTTTAAAGTTGGGTCACGGGAATAGGAACTTCCCTGGAATTTGGCGTGAGGCTACCTGGAGGGGAGGGGGCAATATTCCCGTGCTCTAACAGCTTTGCTCTATGGTTATATATGGTTGCTGTAGTGCAGCATCTGTCGAGAAGAGCACCTTTTAGGCCGGAAGCTTGTGTGTCAGGCTCACAAACTGGGTCGTTTGATGCCTGAGATTCTTAGCACTTCAATGTCAACGACTAGGTAAGAATTGCAGGCTGATGCGACCAAACACCGGTCGCATCAAGAATAAAAAAAATTGTGTTGGGGTGGGATATGGGACCACTTTTCTATGGATTAAGTATA